GGGGCCGGGGGTCGGGGATCCTCGCGGCGGGGGTGCGGGGGTGAAACCCCCACCCCGGCTTGGGCCCCAGGGATCCCCGCCTGACAACAGTGAGTGTATGGCCTGGGGCTATGGTGAAATCTTGTGGGAGAAGTGCTTCCTTTTCTCTTGATCCTAAAATTGTGTCTTCACGTGTCAATTCCGATCACTCGGTTTTTAAGTCGGAACTTCCCTGGACAAAGGTTGCTTGACATTTTGTGATTGCTTCCTACTCGGTTTGTGTCCATACTCTCTCTCTCTCTCTCTCTCCTCCAATCACGTTATATCGTAATGGATGAATTATGGTAACCTTGCTTCTCCCACTTGGTATGTGCATACGGCAAGGCGTGTCAGAGAATTTGTTATAGCATGATTGTATGGCTGATCGACTGAATGATCTGATTGCTTTGAGTGATGTATGATTAAGATATGTCTTGAGCTTATCTTCGCTGCCATGTGGACTGATGGCCCCAATCTGACCAGGCGCCGACTTCTCGTGCCCCCGCCGCGCCCCTTCCCGTACAACGAGGAAAGGATACGTGTATGCGAGTGGGACGTACGGGAAGTCGTCGCCAAGATCGGAGGGCGTTATTTCTTTCCTCCCGAAACTCGGTGTTTTGGATTTGTTGGTGCGGGTTTTGTTATCATCGATACGCACTTTCCGCCCTATTTGTTATTACTACCCTTCAACGAATTGATCGTCATACTATGGATGGCAGTTGAGCCTCATTGGCCTAATACTCTTTGCAGCGATTGTCGCCACTTCGAGCACTACCAGGCCAAATGATTCCACTACCACACACGTGGCGAGGATGATCATAAGGAAAATGCCACTCGATTGAGGTCCTCCACGTCGGATTCAAAATTGTGTAGCGAACGTCGACGGGACCTCATCCGCAAATGGGATACGACGTGTGTACTTGCCCCTTTTCACTCGAAACGTAGAGCGACGGCTCGCTGGGAAGTTCAACAATACTTTTTGGATTGAATTTCCCAAAGGTGCGAGTCCTGCGCACGCCTTTTTCTCCCGTGAAACCCGTGCGGTGACGGACCTACTTCTCGCTACAGTCGGACCAACACGGGGGATTTCAGTTCTGTTTGTGTCCCCACACTCAATTTTCCAAAATCCTTGGCACACCCCATCTTTGTTGCCATTCCCAAGCCCCTTTCCACAAACCAAAACACTCCGACCGGAAAGCAGCACAGGGTGTGAGGTTGAGTGTCACACGCGAGCGCGCGCGAGAGAGAGAGAGAAGGGGGGGGGGGGGGAAGGGGGAGAGAGAGAGAGGAGGACGAC